CAGGGCAGTCACCCAGCAGCTGCTGGAGGTCCTGGGAGAGGCCCGAGCTCCCACACGGCTCCCAGGCCCTCTCTTTAAGGCCATTTTTTTTCCCAGATGTTCCTAGTTCTGGGTTGCAGTCTCCCCTGCTGTCCCTTGTATTTGAAGGAGCAGCTCAGCTTGTCTCTGCCCTAGGTGTTGCCTTGTCACCCTGAGACCCTTCATTTCGACTCCCAGTCCCCATCTCAGACTTCCGAGAGCCAGCAGTGTGCCAGGACCCCAGATTTTGTCCAGGCGGGAACCGGGCTGGACCTGCCCGCTGCCTGAGGTCTAACACCTCCAGAGGTGCCTCTGTGCAGAGGCTGGGTGCCGTGCTGCAGCAGGGACGGCCCCCTCAGGAGCTGTGGGGTGGGTCCCGCTCCTTTCGGCGGCAGCCGCGACCGCAGCGCAGGCTGTCACGTAGCATGCCACCAGCCTGCTTGTGTCACGAGGAGAGGAAGCTGGGAAGGCCAATGAGAAACTTCCGCTCTCTTCTGGCAAACCTGCCCAGCTGACGCCTGCTCGTGCCTGAGAGCAACGTGCTTTACAGAGGCGCCTCTTCCAGACAGCAGAAAATGACAGAAGGGTGTGAGAGCGCAGCGATGGGCGCTACAGGCATCACTGAAGTCACAGCAGATGACGTAGCCCAAAACCAGAAGCATCCATCCGAGTCCGGTGTGTGCAAACCCACCATTTCCAAGGCTGATCCGGATCACTCATCCATCATTTAACTGATCAGATGCTGAGGTCCCAGCACCCCCAAGCACTGCCTGGTTTTTCCAAGCGGCCTGGGCTGTGTGTTTTCAAGCCTTGTATCTGGACTTCAGACCATCTCTGTGATGTTTCAGGACATTTCACATGGTCCCCATGGCCAAATGTCACACTGGACGTGCCAAGGTCAGTATCCGGGGCACGGGCCAAGAAACACGTGGGTGAAGACCCTGCAGAAGGCAGCACCAGGGCTGGGAGAGCCTTGATCCTGCCACCAAAGAGAGTAGATGTTGTCCAGTATGGCTAAACTGGATTACTGGAGATGTCCACAAAGGCTTGCAACAGCTCCGGCCTCCCCCGCGGAGCCGCTGTACAGCCAGGTACGGTCACTTACACGTGCATCGCAGGTCCCTTGCACAGCAGGCTAGGCTTCGCCGGAGACGCTGTCCCACCAAAAAAAGCCTCTGAGCGTGGAGCCGGGGCTGGGGCGGCTGCTGGAGCGTGGGGATGGGAGGCGTCACAGCCTTCGCCCCAGCAGGAAACCCCTGTGAGGAAACAGAAACTTCTTGCAGTCCCACAGCCGTGCAGCGTAACGCGGGCGTACAGACCTGGCCAGGAGCTGGGGAAAACCAGCCGGCAGCCCTGAGCTGAGGACAACGCTGCTCGGTGTTGCGGCCGGCAGCGAGTGCAGCTGCTGTCCTCGAGGCTGCTTTGTCTTCACCTCCGAGGGGAAGCGAAGGCGGACGACGGTGCTTCTCAGCCGCAGGCTCTGCCCTTGCCGAGGGAGGTCTGGCTGCTCCACGCCAGCCAGACACAGGGAGAGTCCTCTAGCCTGGGGAACCTTTCGCTTCGCACTTCTTTAAGGATCTCTGCTGCTGCTCTGTTGTGCTGTACAGATGTGGCTTTTCTTCACCAGCAAGACAAACTATTTTCTATTTTCCTTATTTCGTAAAATTTTTTCCCGCTTAGCAGTAGATCATACAATGATCTGATTTATCTTCCAGACAAAGCTATCTCTACGATGCAGAAAAGGGACAGACGATACAGAATTTTATTTTTTTTAATTCCTGAGGTTAAAAAAGGGAAGAAAAAAAGCATCAAGAAACGTTCTAGTACACAACCGTCGACACCTCTGTAACTGTACAGACGCTGGTACACAGAAACCTCTTTTCCCCCATCTGGAGCACAAGGCGTGGTGTGAATGGGGTTTGCAGTTCTTTGGCAGTTAAGACCAAAAGATGCTTCTGAACAAGTTACAATCTCAGTAATTAAGCATAATTAAAACTATAGTGCAATTTTAACTTTAAAAAAGGAGCAAAGTCAGGCTTTTTTAGCTTTGCCATTTTGTAAGGTGGTACACTTGTGCAATACATCTCACTGATTTTTTGTTAAGCAACACTGAGTAACCTCGAGTAAAGGAACACTGTCATTTTCTTACAGCAACTACATTCTTTCCTTCACATAAACCTCTGCATAACCAAAAATATTACCCTCCGTTCTTCCAGCACCCAGGGAAAACTCCCAATTGCTCACACCGGCCACAATGTGTACTCTCTTTGTCCCATGAGTGTGACATCCCCCTAATTCAATTTCATGATCGATTTATTTATTTTCTCTTAACTGCATTGCTGAGGATGGTCCATTAACAAAAGGTCTAATTCAACAAATGACCTGAGAATCTGTAGGTGAACAGATTCACCAGCGTCCCTGGCACAGCTCACACGAACAAGTGCTTTATGAATGGGAATGTACGGTCCTTGAACAAAATCCCGTCT